TGGTAGCAGAACATCAAGTGTGAGCAGCCAGTGTAGCATGAACATGAATTGGCTTGGTCTGACACTGCCCGAAAGACCAGAAGGTAACTTGACCATACAAATACCAATCAATTTGCTATTCTCTTTTGATTTTTCTTGGCTTTATTCATTACTGTTCTGCAGACAGACCCAAATTAGATCCTTCATAATAAAGCCCATAGGAACTCCGTTGTAGATGTTTCCTTGCCACCTGCTTGTCCTTTGGAGAAGAACAGAGTTCCCTCCCTGCCTTCCTCTCTCAAGGACAAGCAGTGAAATCTAGCTGCTCAGAAGCTGATACAAGTGAAAGCACAGGATTCCATTGTACCTTTGTGGAATTAATTCTGCCTCCGATATCCCAGTTGCATCCGTAGTTACAAGGCATTGTAACCTGTCATAATAGCAGTTTACAGTGTCCTTTACCAGCCTGAGCAGCCAAAGATTTGTGAAATGTAGTGTAATTCATTTTAGTGGGAAATCTGTCTTATAAAAAGAGAAACTCTGTATCTTCTTCCCTCTATTTTCACATATTTAGTAAACATCCCTTTTTCATGTACAAATCCAAGACTCTGGTCTGTGGAACCCAGAGGAGTGTAATCTTCTGTCATTCCTACCTGTACAGAAATGCAGTATTCTGAGTATGCTTTAAATTTTAAGGGCATAATTAAGCCACAATAAGCAGTGGTCAGAATGTTCTTGGATTTGAGCATAATCTTAAAATAAACAGTCTACCCACCCTTTCATGTTGTTCAACTGTTAGAAAGTTGCCCAAGTCGTTTACCTACCTGCTGGTGCATTTTACAATGATGAAAGTTTAATACTTATGTTATATGTTTTGACATGCATAAGAACTTGTTGTTCGAACTGCGTGTGCCTTTTCCCTGCAGCACCTCCTAGCTATGCAGAAGTGGTCACGGAGGAACAAAGACAGTCCAGCCTTGCACCCATAGGTGCTTGTGATGACTTTGAGAGAGCGCTTCCAGGACCATTGTTTGCATACATCCAGGAGTTCCGGTTTTTGCCACCACCCCTCTATTCAGAAGTAGGTACCTCACCCAGAATACAATGATTAATTCACTGTTTTTCTGAATTCTGTCTTGCAGAATAAATGTAGGAAGCTGTTTCTCCTTCCTAAAATCAGGAGGACTCATTAAAATAATGAACAGGGGATAAGGTGACTTCGTTTTAGCAAAGGGCAGGTGAATTGCAGCAAGAGTTTTCACACAGTTCTAATGCTTTGTAGAAATTTGGGTTTGTGCTGTTCTGTATCCTCTTAGCAAGTTCATTAATAACCTCACATTAACATACGTAATACACTGCATTGGTTAACACCCAACACTTTGGGTCTATAGATGCACAACATGCTAACATTTTTCAGCTCTACTTCTTTTCTGCATGTTTTTGGTTCTGTGTATGTAGTGCTTTCAGAAGTTCCACACAGAAGTTACAGAGGTATTCTTTCTGACTTGGGTTTCTGAACATACACGGTTTTCCCAACATTTCTGGCTGCATACTTAGTTCTGTGAAAGCCACTCAGTAACTGTGACAAAACTTGAAAAGTTTTCATGTTCATATTTTTCAGGAAAAAGTGGTGTAGGACAAAAGTAAAATAGTGTCTTTTGGCTAAATCTTGCCTGAATTAATCCACTGTTGGATTTATTTTTTTCTTCTCCCCTTGAAACCCTAATCTGCTACTGAGTGGGCAGAGTGGGGCATGGGTTTCGTGTGCTGGAGACCTTTCTCAGGAATATTCTTCTATAGCTTAAACCTAGAATACAACTCAAGTCCTTTTCATTTCAGGTATTCAAAGATTTAGAAAGAAGCCTTTTTTTGTCCTCAAAACCTGGTTGTATAAAAGTAACTGATAAGAATGTTGACTAAAGTATATACTGTACACTTAAACTATTCTTGGCTATCCAGTTTTGGAGACCTAAGTTAGCAGGTTGTTCCCCTGTTCCTGTTGTAGAAAGGAAGAAGAGGTAAAGTGTGGAACATAGGAACTTCTAAAACATTTTATGCGGTGTTCAATTTTGGGCCCCTCACTACAAGAAGGTTGTTGAGGTGCTGGAACGTGTTCAGAGAAGGGCAACGAAGCTGGTGAGGGGGCTGGAGCACAAGCCTTATGCTGAGCGGCTGAGGGAACTGAGATTGTTTAGTCTGGAGAAGAGGCTGAGGGGAGACCTTACCGCTCTCTACACCTACCTGAAAGGGTGTTTGGCGATGAGGGTGTTGGCCTCTTCTCCTGAGTAACTAGTGATAGGACGAGAGGAAATGGCCTCAAGTTGCGCCAGGGGAGGTTTAGATTGGATGTTACGAAAAATTTCTTCACCGAGAGGGTGGTCAGGCATTGGAACAGGCTGCCCAGGGAGGTGGTGGAGTCGCCATCTCTGGAAGTGTTGAAAAAATGTGTGGATGTGGCAGTTCAGGACATGGTTTAGGGAACATGGTGGCGCTGGATTAATGGTTGGACTTGATGATCTTGAAGGTCCTTTCCAACCTAGTGATTCTGTGATTCTGTGAAACTAGAAGTAGACTTTTTACTGATAACTTCACATTTTTTTTTAAGCAAAATGTGTTCTGAAATCAATTAAATACTATTTAAGTTGCATTTCAATGATGAGTCGTCTCTTTGCTGTACAGTAAATAATTCAAAAGATTTCTGTGCTATTAAAGCAAATTTTTTTTTTTAGTCCTTTGTGCTTATCCTTAAATGACTATGAACCTGTAGTTTAAAATTTTCCACTATACTTAGTGACTAATTTTTCATTCAGAATTTTGTATAATTGATTAGAGGTTTTTCAGTTACTTGAATAACCTTTGGATTGGAAATGCCATTTATGACTCTTGATTATCTTAAACTTGTCAATTCTGTTGGGGTTTTGTTTGGATTGGTTTATTTCTAGCAACTGACTCTAAAAATACCTTGGGTTGTTTTTTTTTTTTTTCCTCTTGGTTAGATTGATCCAAACCCAGATCAGCCCACAGATGACAGACCGTCTTGCCCCTCTCGTTGAAGGAATCAATAAAAAGCTGACTTGACTTGGGTTTTGAATCATACCTGCCGTGTTGAAGGTCAAGGCGTCGTAGTGGAGACACACTTTCAGAGGAAGTGGTTTTGCTCTTGCCTGTATGGTGAATAAATGAAAACAACCTGTGATCATGCTTTGAAGCCTACAGTAACATTGTAGGACTGCTCCACATGCTTGAAGACCTGAGCTTTCTTTCCCCCTTCCCTCCCACCCCTTAAAATACTGGCACATACTAGGAGCAGCCTTACTAACCTACAGTCGTGTGTCAAAACACTCAAACCACATTGTAAGAGAGGGATGGCTTCCTCTTATGATTTGGAAATTTGCACATGCTCGTTGCTTACGTTGTGCGGTTCAGTGTCACTACAGCTTTTTCTCATTTATGCTGGACTGTTGTTACCCACCCCACCCCCCTTATTTGTTTGTGGTCCGCACAATAAGGAGCAAAAGAAAGTTTTGACAAAAAACAACAGCAACAGACTTTGACAAATGCACTGACTTACCTTTTTTTTTTTTTTTTTTTTTTATTTTAATTTACCCTCTTTTTTAATTTTTAACAGCAACTTTTCTCAAATTTTTTTTAATTTAATGTAGCCTGGACTTTACCTGCATATGCACATGCTCAGAATTGTCCTAGTAGGCTGATCATGTATCACCTCTTCAGCTTGGATCCTAATGTGGGTTTATTTACAAACATCAAATGCCTTCAAGCCAATCCTTCTTGCTGTATGTTTTGCAGCCTACTGTAGTAGATAAGCAACAGATGTGGGCCTGGGGTAGGTGTGGAGAGTTAATAGAATGAAACTAATAGACTTCATCAAGATTGTATACCTTCTTGATTTCTTTTAAGAATTTGTTGCCTTTCTACTATTATTGCAAAGCAGCATTTTGTTACAGACTGCCTAAAAATCACTTAATCTCAGGTGAACTCATCACTTGCCAAACTGTTGGAATGCTATTTGTTTTGTTACGTTGCACTGTTACTACTTTGTTTTGTTTTGTGTTTGTGTTTTGTTTTTGTTCTTTATGCGAGAGGGGGCTCGGGAATAGGGACATACACAAAAGTTACAAAACCCACCCTCATTCCCATTTCTCTTTGTGCATTACTAAAAAAAGAAGAGATGTTCAAGTTGTGAAGCTTTAAAAAAAATAAAAAATAAAAAGGCACAAATGAAAGCAGCGGCAGCAGACACCAGCTCAGCCTCAAAAGGAATTTTAAAAGGAAATAGTCATACACTGTCTAGGATTCATAGACAGGTTGATAATCTCAAATAGTAGGGATGGGAAGGGAAAGTAAGTTTATTTTTATATATAGTTACCTAATCACCAAAAATTCTATATATAATGAGTCTGTAGTAGGGAGGTATATTTCAAACTGCAGGAAAAGCTTGGATTATGCTCAGAGCTCAGTTTGTGCACTTTGTATTATCTTCAGGGTTTATGATACTGTAAAAATAGTAAGACTAGAAGTATAATTAAACTGGGCAACATCAGTGTTACCAGCCATACTTGGATATTAATTAGCTAGAATTGCTTTGATGATTACATCTTCTGTGGTACTCTCAAGAGCTTTAAAACAAATGGAACAGTGAATTTTACCATATATTCATTCAGGACACAAGAAAGTACATGGAAAGAGCACTTGCCCTTGAGTGTGCCCCAAGGAAGAAAAGAGTGCCGTGGAGCCATTAGATGTGCCAACATAGATAGCAGCACTTAACATGCTAGAGATGTACAACAAAAGTCAACTTTCCTTCTCAGAAATGACGTAACGCAGACCGTCGACAAAGGGACAGGCTTCTGGTGTTGACTACTTAAACAAATCAAGATGTAATCCATCAAGTATCTATCTCCTTGTGCAATAAAACAGCTCAGAAGGGAGCGGGAGAGGGGAGGCTGGAGCTTCTGCACGGTGCTCGTTCTTAAAAATCTTCGCCTTGTTTTTAAGGCTTCATAAATGCGACAAAATAAAGAGGCTTTTCCATAAGTGGCCTTTATGAGAACATGAGCGATAATTCATGTTTCAAAAATGACAACAGGGTGATAAAATATAAATGAGTCGCGTTTTAAGTGATTCAGTTAAAAGGTCAGGGCTTTGAGCAGAATATTCGACAAGAAAGAAATGGGGTGATGTTTTGCGTTGCTAGGCCGATTTTGTGAATGTCCCTTCCCTCTACCCTCTCCAACCAGACAATTGTAAAAGCTGATGGGATCGTTGGCATAAAAGGGCATTTGGTGGTTTTACTTTTTTTTCCTTTTTTTGTTACTTTTAACAGACTAGGGAACAATTGCTGATATACATAGCATTAAAGTACTTATCACAATATTACGGAAAATTGCGTATGAAGCAGGATTGACCAATATTGTAGTAACTGATAGGCATCACAGCCTTTCTGATTGGAGTGGAAAATTCTGTGACCTTACCAAATAAAGACTTTCAGTTCAAGTTGTGGTGTTGTTCAGAGGCATTACACTTCCACAAGTATTGGTCAATTCTCAGCATTATAAAACATGAGGTTCACAGTTGTAGCCCAGTATTCGATAGCGAATTCTGATCTCAATTAGGAAAAAGTAAGTAAAATCCAAACATTAGAGAAACAAAGTGCAATATTAAATGTTCGCTTTATAGATTATATTCTATGGCTGTTTGTACTTTTTTTTTTTTTTTTTTTTTTTTTTTTTTTAGTTTTGGTGCTGAATATGTCCTTGTAGACTCTGTTTCAAGAAAACAATATGTGGAAAACAATTTAATTTTTCCTATTGCTCTTCCTTGTGGAAAATAAACTTTTGTAAAAAAAGAAAAGCTCTTAAATGTTGTAACTTCATCCACGTGACTCAAATATTTTATTCAAAACATGCCTACGTATGAAATAATAACCGCAAGGATCACGTAATACAAGAACTTGCTACGGGAACACATGCAGTAACCTGTCTCAAACTACGCATGAACTGTTACTATACCACTGGCTGCCACGGAAGGCTGTTTTCGGCCCCGTTCGTTTTACATCGGTAACCTCTCAGAGCCGCGTC